TTTGTGATCTACAAGAGGAGGACACTGTGGCTGAAAAAAGGGAAAAGTTCCTGTGGACCACGACGGAGGACTGTTTTCCCCTCCCGGTGTGATATGATAGACTGCTGTCTTTTCCTGAGCTGCGTTTCTTCGTTTGCGAGTTTCTGCTGTGTGCTGCCAGAGACCATCGTCCCATTCCCTCACAATCTCATTCCCCTGCTCATACTCAGAGGTCGTGAGTACTAATAACTTTACAACTTTACACGTGCACGTATTTGTTTTTTTGTGCTTGTGAAACAAGTGAACCGGCCATTGCATGTTTTGGGCCTCAACGCACCGGACCACGATCCAGGCCTGCAACGAGGTTTTGTTTAATTTCAGTTATAAAGACGTGTATGAGTGTGTGTGTGGGCCCACAGCACAGTGGTGGTGTTTGACGCTTACTGAGGTAATGCACTGGTTATATAATGTCCAATGAAACAAGACATATAAGGGTTTACAAGAGACTTACTAACAAGAGTTTTGTGTTTATTTTCTGAATATTTTATATTGGCATTTCGATTTCGCTATATTTTGTAAAGGTATCATTTTAAGTTATTTTTAGTTAAAAGGGAATTTATGTATTTTGTGTTACTGCCGAATTAATTAAATAAATGTACTTTTTTTCTGCTAAAGCATATTGGTGGTATATGTATTTGGGTTTTTCAGAATGAATACTTTTTCTTACACAGATTAACCAGATACATGTAATTTGGTTTACAGTGTACAGCAAGGAAGAGTATAAATATTACCTTTGTGTTTATCTGTTTGGAGGCAACGCCAGTTAAATTTTTTCATTTGAGAGTAAGTGGGTGAAGGTTTCCATCATTTTCATTTGCTAGAATAATAGTACAGGTTACAGCGCCAAATTATAAAAACTGTACCCAGGGCCCCGCCCATAGTGACCTTATACAAAGAAGTTAGTTAACATTATACAATCACATGGGACGGGTGTTACAATAATAATAATATGCAATGTCCGGTTATACTTTAATAGTAAAACTAGAGGTCAACATTGTGAGAACAGGTTGGCTTAGCTAATGTTACGTTTTCATAGCCTGGCCTGCCAGATGAGCTTCACCTCTGCATCCACTGCAACTTCTCCTCAGAATGGATGTTTTAAATGCAGGTTCATTTGCTCGGTACAAGTATATGAAATCATTCAAAACACATACAAAAAACACACATGTAAACTTTGTTGGGTAAAGACCACAGCATCTGGAGACAATCAGTGCTTGAAGTGGGCCAGTACGCACAGGTACGCAGTACCGGCACCTCAGCATTTTTCTCTTTGGCGTACCAGGACATTTTCTTGTGTACCGGGACTTCTCCCAAGCTGCCGGTACTCTCCTCTGCCCCCTCCATGTCAGGTTCTCTGGGCGCTACGTGATGCTCACCTGCTCCCGTTCTCGCCTGCCTGCTAATCTCTGTCCGAGGAGAGAGAGGACAAGAGAAGTTCGGGTGCCTTTCAAGCAGCAGTGTGCTGAATGTAGCTCGTCAATGTCACTTTTTGTGAACTGACCAGTCACAGCCTGGATGGGGCGGGACATTTAAAAATATTGACAGGTAGGTGTCATTTACGCTGGGGACAGGTCAGAATCAGGCCCCATCCACACTACTACGTTTTAGTTTAGAAACGTAGAAGTAAAACGAATACGATCTCCATCCACACTAGCGTTTTAGCTGCGTTTTAGAATTGATCTCCGTCCACATTAAAACATCTGAAAACGCGAATCACGTGACCATTCACTGCATGCGCGTGCCGGTGTAAACAGGAAAAAGATTGACTACTACTCCGTTGCAGCAGATTTGACAAAGAAGAAAGTAGCTACATCTGCAAAGATTAGCAACGTCAAAGACCAGAGATTTCTTTGCATGGACCGACGACGAGGTGGAACTTTTACTGAAAGTTACAAGGGAGTACAAAACAGCCATGGCAGCAGAAAACACAGATTGGGAGTCGTCGCAAACCAAATACGACGACATATTGGAAAGGTACTGGGAGCATTACCCATTGCCAGAGGAAGCCACAGCAATGGGAAAGGTGTACCCCCACAATAAGGACGAAATCACTAAAGGTATGTATGGCTGGCAAAATTTTAGCTATAACGTATAACGCTTGATTTTACGTGGTGTAGCCTAGATGTGTTTTAACAGGCCTAACAGTTAGCTAATGTGAGAAAGCTGCTTAAACTTTTGTGGAGGGAGGGGGGGAGTAACGCTAGTTATACAAAAACATTAACGTTAAACTAGTTCGTGTTTTGTGTTCACAGGGCAGTTGACTACAAAACTCAAGGCCGTACGAATCAGCTACAGGCGAGCTGTCGATGCTGGTCATCGAAGTGGCCATGGGCGAGTAGTTTTGCTCTACTTTGAGCTCTGCGAGTCAATTTGAGGTTCAGGTAGGCCTAACCTCCATTATATGCCTCCACAGTCACCACACACCATGCACGATAACCGATATAACTATGGGCACGCCAATAAGAAGGCCACTCCAGGAATACAATTCCCCTGGACATAGCCACCACAGCAGTCCACCTGCAAAGCACGGAGACTACACACATTTGTAAATGTTTTTTAGTACAGCCAGCTTAAAAAGCAGTGTTCTTGTTTCTGGCCCTTGTATATAGTTTTATATTTGCATGGTGTGTTTCTTTGGGTGTTGTAGTTAATTTGTTATTTGCACAGTAGAAATTATTTTAATAAAGACATTAAAACAACTGATTCATTGGTTATTTGCTGTCTTTTTCATCTATCAATATCTATATCTCTGAGATATAGATATTGATAGATGAGATATTTAGATATATATCCGTATACATACCAGAGAGGGAGAGGATGAGAACATCTATTACATCAGTGTACAAACTCACATACACAATTTTAGAGTCAAACATTTTACTTTTTATTCAATCAAATCTTTTTTTAGGTTACATTTAAAGATAAACGTGTACACATTTAAAAAACACATGGTAGTCAGAGCAAAAGGCAAAGGAATACTTTCAGTGTACTGGGAAACCTGTTTTTTTAACTGTGCATATGACAAACGTTTTAGTTAAGGGTCAAGAAATGTCTTCAACACATGTCTCACTCATTTCCCTTCATTTTCGTTGTTCTCACATTACAATCTCTCATGTGTGGCTGGAAATCCCTGTCGTACTGGTGAGCAGCGTTTATGCATTGTTCGTTTACAGGTTCGTTGTTCATTTCACAATAATTGTGCAGAACAAAACAAGCATAGATCACAAAAGGAAGGTCCTTCATGTTTATGTCCATCGGCCTTCTCAAAGCCGCAAACCATGCCTTCAAACGTCCGAATGAACATTCGATCACCATCCGCGCCTTGCAGAGAGAGAAGCCATAATACTGCTCCAGTGGAGTAACTCCGCCGTTGTGGTACTCCTTCATGAGGTACAGCATAAAGGGATAAGCTGGATCCCCCAGAAGAAACACGGGGACAGCATCTTCACCTTCCACTAACTCTCTAGGGCAGGAGGGTATTGTCCCATTTTTTAGGTCACCACACAGTTTCGAGTTGGTAAGTATGCGCGCGTTGAGCACACTCCCCGGCCATTTTACAACAACATCCATGAAACGATACTGGTGGTCACACAAAGCTTGTACATTCAAAAAATGTTTTCCGTTTCGGTTGATGTAGTCTGTTGAGTTGGCTAAGGGTTGTTTTGATTTTGATGTGTGTACAGTCAATTGCCCCAGGCAATGTGTCTGATAGAAGTTCACAACAAGATCTTTCACCTTGGCCTCTGTGCTCGGTGTTTTAATGTAGTCTGGACCCAGGAAAATGGCAATGGCCTTACAGACCTGTCGGATGATTACTGAAACAGTTTGTCGGGATAGTCCAAATGCATTTGCATTTCCGGTCTCCCCTCGTCACTCAGGTAATACAACTTGCATGCTACCTTGTTCATCCATGGGGGCCCTCATTTTTGTTGTTGCTCCTTCCACGTGCGGACGTAGTCTTCCACTGAAGTTGATAAGTGCCGATCTGGACATTCGAAGGTTTTCGCACCATTCCTCAGGAACAACTTCATTGATAAAATTATCCCACCATGTGCTGGTTATTCCCAGCTTTACCCAAAACCGACGCTCCATGTATGGTCGATACCGCTGCTGCACATGGGAATTGTCACAGATCGCTCGAATAATAGCTTGCCTCCGGCGCATGTAGGCAGTTATAGCATTGTAAAATGCAGAATTTACTTGTACAACAGCTGCTAGCAAAGACATCAAGGTCAGTAACGCTTGTAATTCATTATCCATATTGCAGTCACTAACGTTAATGGTAGTCCAGGCTGTTGTTGTGTTTTCTTCCGGGGAGGGGTCATGTGATGGGTGGCTGACGAATCAGTGAAGGATACGCCATGACTGATGACACCCAATCAGAAGCTAAATGTGAGCGTCTGCGTTATCGTTTCTAAAGTCCTCCGTTTTTGCCCGTCTTCACTAAAACGCCCTCCGGAGATTCAAAACGCAAAACGGAGTCGGCAGCGTTTCCAAACTTCTCCGTTTTAGGTCTCCGTTTTTGCCGTTTTAGTCTGGAAGGGAGGTGCAAATGTAGCAAAAGGTCCCCGTTTCTAAACTAAAACTTTGAGATTTCCCTGAAATGTAAAGTGCATTATAAATAAAATTTATTATTATTATTATTATTATTAAAACGCAGTAGTGTGGACGGGGCCTCAGAATAGGTGCGTTTGATTTCATGCGGCGCTGTGCAGCGCTGACTTAATGTGATGCATGCTGGACTTAAACTGCCTCACAGACAGCCAAATTCTGCCACTGCCCATATAATTTTTCTTTATAAATTTGATTTGACATTTTATTTAGACATTTCTAAAGTGTAGATCTATGTATGTGTTAGTTAACTTATTATTTTAATTCTTTTTTTTTATAGGTGTGTTATAGGTAGACCTCCACCAAAGCTCATTGCAAGTGGTGGTCGAACATAATTAAGAGTCCAGGAGTTGTGCCAAAAACACAAGATTATTAAAATAAACATGAAATTAGTTAAAAATTTTATTCAAACGAAATAGCAAATCTGATGGGCTAGCCAAAATGAACAAAAGAAAGGGAAGCCCTCCAGACCAGCCCACAAAGGGTCATAGGATCTGGAGGCTTCCCCTCTACCCTAAACCAATCCCTAACTAAACAAACAAACAAATAAAATAAATCCACGAAAACTAAACTACCAGTCCCATCAGAAAAAAAAAAGAACAATCAAAAGAAATACAAATCAGCAGCAGTCTCTGTGGTCTGCTGCTGCCATGGCATGAAGGTGGACAAGAGAGAGATCCAAGCGCCCAGCCCTCGCTTATGTGTTTCTCCCCTCATCACCCAGACCTGAAACACCTGACGGAAAAAACAGACACACACGAGTCACCATCATCTATAATTGTACATCATGACCAGCAGGGGGGGAGAATGTAATAGGGATAATGTAACAAGGTGTAGGCAACAAAACTAGTTGGTTAGGTTTAGGAAAGATCATAGTAAAATGATAAGTCAACGTTAATTTTTGGTTTCAGGACACAAACAATGGCCTCCTAGGTGAGCGTCCTGCGTTTGTGAAAGGCTTTCAGGCAGAAAACCCTGAAGGCAAACTTCACCAATGTGCACAACACTCACAATGAAGAAACAACACTTAAAAATCTTGTGAGAGTTTATGAGGAATTTGGATCATGTTAACTGTCCCACAGAAGTGCTGCCTCAAGTGTTTTGCATTTCTGTCTAACCTATGTCTACTTGTGAAAAGTAACTTTTAGGTACGTTAGCTAGGTCTGTACAGAAATATTAGCGGTAAAAGAGCAGTTAGTTAGCGGTTTGTTATGAAGAATTGTCCCTTAAAGAATCATTAGGTATTATATTTTTGTATTATTTTAGATGTAGTAACATGTAAGCAGCATTATACTGTTGGTCCAGATGTAACAACATGGAACTATTTATTATACTGTAGGTATTATGTGACAAATCATATTGATGTTTTTATGTAAATTCTTATTCTGACTTAAACTAACATCAGCAAGAAGATGATCGTGGACTTAAGGAAGCTGAAGGTGGTGTGTGTGTGTGTGTGTGTGTGTGTGTTGGGGTGGCAATGTGTATGTCCCCATACACATTGCTTCTGCAGTGGAGCGAGTTCCTCGGTGTGTTCATCAAGCAGACTCGGTGGTAGAATCTGCCCCAAGGCGTCTATACTTCCTGAGGAGACTCAAGACATTTCGAATGTCTGCTAAAAGAACTTCTACAGATGCACCATTGAGAGCATCCTCTAAAGTTACATTACTGCCTCATCAGCTGCCATCTTCCTTCCGTGCAAGGCATCTACCACACACGATGCCCAAGGAAAGCATGGAACATCATAAAAGACACAGCCAGCCAAGCTATGGTCTATTCACAATGCTGCCGTCAGTTAGATGTAACTGGAGCATTAGGTCACAAAACTCACGAAAACTTCTCCCCTCCAGGCCAGTTTCTCAACTGGGAACACTGATATCCGATCACACGACGGACATGTTTTTAAATATACCCTTTCATAGGCCCTATCAAACTTATGTTTATAATATATTTATTTTCTTCTCACACTAACCATACTCCACATCTGTACACTCTATAGGATTGCTGCTCTTTTTATTGTTTACTTTTTTTATTTTCTTTATTTTAATGTGTATACATATTTTTATATATATTTGTATACTTTTAATACATACTACACACATGCCATGTCACAAGATTTTCTCTGTTCTGGAAGATGCAATGTTATTCGGTGCCTATGACAAATAAAATGACTTTGACTTTGACTAGCTACTAGTAACTCTACTGGTCAAATAAATACTAATTCAAATAAGTGCCACCATACTTAAGTAATCTATTTGAGTAAATGCAGTGCTTGAAGTGGCACTTTGGCATTTTACTCTTTGGCGTACCATGCCATGGATGTAAGTAAGCAGTTTGTGGTCATCCATTGAAATCTCATCAGTTATCAGCAACTGCAGCTTTCCCAGCTTTGCTCTTAAATTGTTGACTTTGTCCTCCCCAAGTGGCTGATACAGTAGAGAAACATCTGTACCAATTGCTAAGCTGTTGTGAATTGTTTCAGCATTAATATTAAAAACAACAACACCAGTTGGGGCAGTAAGTAACACATGCAAATCATCTGGATTACCAGTACCAGCTCCTCCAGTGACAAAGACAACAAATGGTGCAGGGTTTTTTCCATTTACTATGTAAACACCAACGGCAAATCTTGTGTAAAACCTGAGACTGTTTGTCATTCAGTGATCGTAACAAAATGAGAGCATCTTCTTTTGGCATCATATTTGAAATGGGCTCAAATGTGTAGCTTCTATGAGGGAGAGCAAATCTGGTATGATCTTATCACATACCTCAGCATCTTCTTCTTTTTCTGCAGCACACTCAAGACGCTTCAGTTCCGTTTCAGGAAAGATCTCAGCCCAGGCATCTTCCATAGGAACATTCTGTTCAAGGTATTCTTTGGCAATCTGCAAATTATCAGCTTCCAGATCAAACAAACTCCTGTTAGTGTCAACCATAACTTTAACAGCAACCACCTCATTATCCAACAGTTTTAAAATGCCAGTGTTATAGAAATCCTCAAATGAGTGGAAAATGAATGGTTTCAATTCACTGTCCAAATTATGTGTTAAAAACAGCTGTAAAAGCTGTGGTAATACTTCTCTGGATTTTTAGAAGGTGAAAATCTTACGTATCGTACAACAGCAACATGGGTGCTTGTCCTTTTCTTCACGTATCTGAAATCATAATCCAGCTTTATAGCATTTGATTGCTCAGATTTTGATACAATGCGATATTCAGATGCAAACTTTGCCAAGCACTTATCAAAAAACTCATCCGTTTTAGGCCTACCTTTGTATTTTTCTGTAATACTGCTCATCCATATTTTTCCAGTGTCACAACATGCGCCTTTCTTCTGAAGGACATTCAAGGGCAGACTCATGCGAACAACATGATGTCCAGCTGGAATGAACTGCACACATCTTGTTCTTTCCTTTAATCTCATGTTTGTAAACTGGTATATTCTTTTTTGAGCAGATACTTCTCAATTGAAGAGGTAGACAGATCCAAGTTGATTTAAAGCTCATTTTGCATCTAGGTTCTCTTTAGAAGCCTCTTTTTGTGCACGCTGAAGCAACAAGCCCAATTCACGTTCAGATTTAGAAATGTAAGAAACGAGGTAAACAATACATAGGCATCAACAACAAATTGTATGTCCATGTTGGCATTCCAGCATCGCAAGAGATCTCGGTTGTACTGATTTACCAACATCACAAGGTCTCCTCTTCAATACAACACTTGTTTTATTTGAAATTCTTTTGTAGGATTCTTCAAACAACTCTTAACTAATACCTATTGCATGAAACAAGGAGTCAACAGAATCAAATGTCTGAAATGTATCCATCAAGACTTTCCATCACTTTCCTGGATATTTTCAGCATTCTCCTTTTTCATGCTTTGGGCATTTTGCTTGTTTACATTGTTTTGGTTAATAGCACCCTTTTCTCCACATTCTTGTGCTATGTCATTTGGTCCAACATTAACTGTTGCTTGTTATTTGGAAAGCTTACTTTGTTTAATGAAAGTTCGGCCACTAGGTGGACGGGGAAAATTTTTGCATGTCTTTGAATGTCTTTGACTATGCTGCTGCACACTGGAAACAGTGTCACGCATCTCTTTATCACAGGCAGGTGGCATTTCACAAAGTCACACATTGGTTCACAGTATGACAGAAGACAACATTGATGACCAATGTTGTCTTCTGTTATTGCCTTGTCAACATTGCCATCTGTTGCCTCAGGAAACTCGTTATTATCAGAGATATTCCCAGTCGTACATCTTCCTAGCTCTTCAGTTCTGCTCAATGGATTACACCAGTCATGGTCAATTGAAATGTCCTCATAAAATATGTTATGATCTTGTAAAGGCAAGGCAAGGCAAGGCAAGGCAAGGCAAGTTTATTTGTATAGCAACATAAAATATAATAAAAGTTACAGTGTTTCAATCAGGGTTAAAAGAGTAAAATGGAAATATTTAATTAAAAGCAATGATAAAAAGCTAAAAACAAAGAAAAAGAGAACAGGACAGTAAAAGTTACAGTGCAGTGTAATTTATCAATCTTAAATATTTATTTAAAAGCAATGGTAAAAAGAAAAGTCTTCAGTCTTAATTTATAAGAACTGACAGTTTCAGCAGACCTGCAGTTATCTGGGAATTTGTTCCAGATATACAGAGCATAATAACTGAACGCTGCTTCTCCTTGTTTAGATTTGACTCTGGGGAAAGAAAGCAGACCTGCCCCAGACGACCTGAGGTCTGGATGGTTCGTAACGAAGCAGAAGATCGGAAATGTATTTTGGCCCTAAACCATTTAGTGCTTTTAGTGTACAGCAGGATTTTGAAATCAATTCTTTGACATACAGGAAGCCAATGTAAAGACCTCAGAACTGGAGTGATGTGATCCACCTTTTTGGTCTTAGTGAGGACTCGAGCAGCAGCGTTCTGAATCCGCTGCAGCTGTCTGATGGATTTCTTCGGGAGCCCTATAAGGACACTGTTACAGTAGTCGAGTCGACTGAAGATAAATGCATGGATAAGCTTTTCCGGGTCCTGCTGAGACATACAGTAAGTACTTTAATCCTTGATATATTCTTCAGGTGATAGTAGGCTGACTTTGTAATTGTCTTAATATCACTCCTCAAATTCAGGTCTGAGTCCATGACTACACCAAGATTTCTGGCTTGATTTGTGGTTCTTAACGTTACAGATTGAAGTTGAGCACTGACTTTCAATCGTTCCTCCCTGGCTCCAAAAACAATAACTTCAGTTTTATCCTTGTTTAACTGAAGAAAATTCTGGCACATCCAATAGTTGACCTGCTCTATACAGTTACTCAGCACCTGAATGGGATCATTGTCCCCTGGTGATATGGTTATGTAAATCTGTGTGTCATCTGCATAATTATGGTAACATATTTTGTTGTTTTTCATAATCTGAGCCAGTGGAAGCATGAAAATGTTAAACAAAAGAGGTCCCAGAATGGAGCCTTGGGGAACTCCACATGTCATTTTTGTCAGCTCAGATGTGTAATTACCTATAGACACAAAGTAGTCCCTGTCCTTTAAGTAGGATTCAAACCATTTTAGTACTGTGCCAGAAGGTCCAACCCAGTTTTCAAGTCTGTCTAGTTATATGTTGTGGTCGACCGTGTCGAATGCAGCACTGAGATCCAATTATTATTAGATCTCAGTGCTAAGACTGAAATTCTGCCACTGTCAGTGTTTAAATGGATGTCATTGAAGACCTTAACATGAGCTGTCTCAGTGCTGTGGTGTGGTTGAAAACCTGACTGGAAGACATCAAAACAGTTATTTAGTGCCAAGAAAGCATTAAGCTGTTGAAAAACAGTTTTTTCAATGATTTTACTTAAAAATGGGAGATTTGATATGGGCATATAATTGCTCATTAGTGAACTGTCTAGATTACTCTTTTTTAAGAGTGGCTTAATGACTGCAGTTTTCAGGGCCTGTGGGAAAAAACCTGAGAGGAGAGACATGTTGACAATTTGGAAATGTCCAGACCCTTGGAGATGACCAAGTCCAAAGTGTGCCCCTTATTGTGTGTGGGCTCCGTCACATGTTCGGTCAGTCCATAATTATCAAGAACACAACACAGTTCTTTAGTCCCTCTGTCCTGGGGGGTTGTCAACATGGATGTTAAAATCACCAACAATAACTACACAGTCAAAGTCAATACAGATTATAGACAGCAGTTCACCAAAGTCATCAAAAAAGTTTGCATAGTATTTAGGGGGCCTGTAGATATTTAGAAAAATAGCTCGAGAAGAGGAATTCAGCTGAAGAGCCACATATTCAAAAGAAGCAAAATTCCCATAAGACATCTTTTTGCATTGGTGGGAGTCATTAAACAAAATGGCAACTCCACCTCCTCTCTTATGCACTCAAGCTTCACTCATAAAACTGAAGTTGGGAGGGGTAGACTCGATAAGGACAGCTGCACTGTTATCTTGGTCCAACCACGTTTCAGTTAAAAACATGAAATTAAGATTGTGAGTTATTATAAAATCATTGATAAAAAAAAAAATTTCCTGCCAAAGACCAAACGTTTAACAAAGCTAACTTTAGTGTGTTAAAAACATTATCTGGCCCACTTTTTTCAACAGGCTGCGGCTGACGAGGAATTAATACTAAATTTGCAGGATCTACTGAGGGTTTCCTGTTTCTTAACACATTCACCATGCTTTTTCTGTTACCTATCAAGACAGGGATGGAGAAGACTACCAGCACAAAAAAGAATTATGAATTCTGTTAGTATTCACATACTGATATTCATAATGACCTTTGTAAGTCCATTTTCTCTTCAGTTTCACAAGTAGCAGATGATCATCTGTTCTTGGAAGTACATTGGAATTTTCTGCAAAATTTAATGGAACACAATCAATTGGTCCATGCGCTCCATTTTGTCCATCTTTTGGCAAAGCAAGTAACTTCATGAATGGAATATGTCTTGCAATTAAATGCTGTTCTAATGTGTTCAAGATGTTCAGTTGTGGTGGAATGTGTTTCAGGTGTAAACGGTTTGCAACACTTTGAGCAGGGAGTTTGCCAATACCAATTTTTCTGTGGCAGGTATAGCATATCCAAAGTACACCCTTAGGTCCCTGAGATTACAATTCTCAGCACGTCTCACTGCACTGATGAAGATAAGTATTAGTTATGCAGGCCATAGCAAGGTAAGCAACTATTGAATTTTTAGTTGTTCTCTTTCTTGCAGTACAATACTTGATGTCTAAGAAGAAGGCGATGACAAACTGCACAAACATATTCAGGTCCTGTGTTAGTTTGTTCTCTAAACACTTCGACAATATTGTCCATGACCTTCATTCGTTCACATTTCTTATGCCCTCTTTCTGCATTTTGTATTTTCACTTCAATACGATAATCATTGTTTGTGGCATACTTGTCTTACTGGCCAACTTTTTCTCTGTGCGATAATCGTCGTCTGTGACATACTTGTCTTTGCCGGCCAAATTTTTCTCCCTAGTTATCAGGTTACACTGTGGCTGCTTTTCGAACAAAGATACCGGGGACTTTTAAGTCCCCAGATCTCTTTTCAAGGAACTAAAAGGTTCCTTCAGCCCACTGTTGTGTGCGTTTCCACTGTGGTCTAATCATCTGCGAAGATTAGTCAAATTAACCAGCTGATGTAGGCTGTAGCCATACAAAGCGATGCACAGGCATCATTATTTGTAACCACTATCCATGAGCAACATTTATAAATGAACATCAGATTTGACTGGAATATAATGAAAAACTATAGGCTTTGCTTGACCATTAAAGCAGCTTTTTTGTGTGGGAGCTATAATGAAGAGACGCATATAGTTCGTTACACATTTAATAGTAGCCAAACAAACTGGATAAAGCCATAAAGTTCTTAAAATAACTCCAGCACAGAGAAAGC